CATTGTTCTTCCCGAGGTGTAGTACTTTACACTTGTCTTAACGGACTTGAACCTAATTCAAGCCTGTGGTACAGTTTTATCGTTCTTCTTTCTTCCCCTAGACGCTTCTCAGCGCTGAGGGCTCATAAATATTTAGACAAAAGTAATCGTATTATGGGTACTATATATAAGTGAGCGACGTTGCGCCCGAACATACCAGGTAGCGGCGATACGCCGGGCGTGGCCTAATCTTGGACGCTGGCCCTGCTATATTATGCTTATGATAAACAGCTGCTCGAATACATTAAATGAGTATGCTCGTTACTAATGTAAACTAATGCATCAAGGCGAACGTCATATCAGTGAAGAATAAGACTTTTTTCTTTATTTTTTAAACCATTTATGGCAGAAACTTGTAAAAGTGATACCCATGTTTACTGAACAGTAAGGTGAATTATTCTCACACCTCACGTTGGCACACATGCCAACGAGTCAGTTTATACATCAGTGCATTGCAGTTTAAGTTCATGAGTTCATAGACAGGCAGCAAACAACATCGCCGCAGTGCAGGAAAAAAGATAGAGTTATGAAGAGCAATCGTCTACTTGAAGTCTTCGAACATTATAGGTGCAGTATTATTTGTAGACTGTAACAACATGAAGTAGTTTCCCCTATACCTATAGTATAGGTCTAAGAGATTAAATTTGAAATGGAAAATATTTTTGCCTGAATGAAAATGGAATAACTTAAGAATTTTCCCATTCGCGTATAAGCATTGAAGAAATAATTGATATTTTTTTTTTATTTCACGAAAACTCATTGAAAAATGCAAGGGTGTACTCAAATATTATTATTAGCTTATTGACGAATAATTATACGAAAAACTTGTGCTAATCCTGCCAATTTGGGTGCAGCTCATAGATTACCTAATAATATAAGTATATACATATAAAATTATTAAACATTACTTGGAAGAAACCCTGATAAAGATTGAATTTTAAGTAGACAATGTATGACTTATGTATGACTGCATGGACGTTATGCATGACTGCATAGTTATGTATGGCTGCATAGTTATGTATGGCTGCATAGTTTTGTATGGCTGTATAGTTATTTATGGCTGTATTGTTGTGTATGGCTGCATAGTTATGCATGACTGTATAGTTATGTAAGGCTGTATAGTAATGTATGGCTGCACAGTTATGTATGGCTGCATAGTTATGTATGGCTGTATAGTTATGTATGGCTGCATAGTTATGTATGGCTGTATTGTTGTGTATGGCTGCATAGTTATGTATGACTGTATAGTTATGTAAGGCTGTATAGTTATGTATGGCTGCATAGTCATGTATGGCTGTATAGTTATGTATGGCTGTATAGTTATGAATGGCTGTTTAGTTATGTATGGCTGTATAGTTATGTATGGCTGCATAGTTATGTATGGCTGTATAGTACCTGATGACATGTGGACGTGTTCCCTGCCGTAAAATGAATCAATATTTGGAGAAATGACATCGCAAGCTTCCGCTGTATAAATTCAAATACTTACAGTTCTTGATGGTTGTAAAATGATTCATTTCTGGATGGTTCAGTAATGCTGGGAAATTACCGGCCTGAATGCTATAGATTGTCTTTGCATTGCGTTGAAATGAGTTGTCTCGTTAATTCAAGCTTCTTAGAGATAATCCCTATTCCTCATGTATAAAATGTATTGCGGCTCTTTGCTTTACATGAAATAAATTATTTATTGATTTATTTGGAACTCCTTGAACTTGTCCACCACGACGCCAGCTATTGGCGTGAAGTGTTGCTTCACTGGAGGCGCCATACGCTTCAAAATATCAACATGTATGTTAATTATTCTTCAAGACATGATACTAGCAGAAATTGAGTATTAAACTATAGTGGATTGCGTGCCTTGAAGGATGATGATGGCACGCAAGTCTTAATAGAATAGTATAGAAGTGTTGGCGTTGAAGAAATAGGCCCATGGCCTGTTGCCGATTCTTGAACTTTTCGTGACTTGATTCACAAGGGATCCGGCATTTGGAACCCGATCTTTCCATAACTGACGATTGATTGAGATAGCTGCTGGACTTGTTGCCTTGTCCGTAATTTGCTAGGCATTAATAATAGATAATAGAAAGCAGGTGCTGTAATGATCTGAAGATCTGAAACTTTCCTACGCTGGCAGTTTTGATACCAGTGCTAATAGAAGTCTTAGTTCAATTTTGAAGTTCATTTTCTTACATATTGTGAATTTGTTCTGCGATAAGTCAGAGTATCACACTCTGCTAGGCAGTTTCATTGACGCCTGTCGAGTTGCGTCGAAGTTTAGCTGTTGAGATCGTGTCGGTTTGACTACGCCATTTGTTTCCCTGACGCTATTCAACCTAGTTTTAGACTACTGTTGCTGACGCTTTAAATATTGTTCATAGTTCCAGGCATGGTCAAGTATTGTATAAGCGTTACTAAAGTTTTCTTAGACTTTTCTTGAATGTTTTCTTGATTATTACAAATGTTGGGATGGTAGCATAATTTTTTGGGCGAGATTATTACAGTTTACAGCGTCCAGAGCTTCACTGGTTCTTGTCAAGATATTTAATAATTTATAAAAATGTAAATATTGAACATCAGCACAAGGTTTATCATTGAATTGATTAGTGCGGGTAGATAATGCGTACCTGATAACACACACCGCAGTTCCAGCAACTGATCAGGCATGGGAGTCCCGTCAGTTTTGTTGGGCTCCCCTATTGAGCTGTGCAAAATTAGTCTTTAGCATCTCGCTGTCTAAAACTCGAGCGAAAGTAGGAACCTTAACCTTATGACAGTGTGCGACCCCAGAATATTGCTCAATGAAAACAAAACTTTCTACTCGGATTGGCAAAGCTTGACAGCTTCAAGTTGGATCTACCTTAATTCAACTGATGTAAATACCTTCCTGGTCTGAAGTTTTCGCAATTTAATTCGCCGTTTACTCGTATTATGCAAAAGTTGTTTGGTATTAAACATTGAGTCACTGAGAACTCTGAGCACGTGTGCGAAGTCGTGAGACATCTAGCAGGGTTTTAGAGAAGGTGCCGGTAAACGAGTAATGTCGTGCGTGTCATGAACGGCAGTATTCACTGTTGAGTGATGAACCACTTTTTAGAGGTTCTTCATCTAACAATTTTTTTGCAGACACCTTCCAAAAAATTTTGAAGGCCTAGTAGTGTTGACCTTGATGCTAATTTGCATTACATAAAATGAGTCCTCTTGTTAGTTCAAGTTCTTCAGTATGACCGTACATGATAACGTAAGGCTGTTGATCTAATTCCTAGCTGGCTCGCAAACCTACTCCTACCTATGGTTGAATTAATATAGTATTAATTCAACCATGCTCCTACCTACTGCTTCTTTCCGTGACTAGAAGAGGGGGGAGGGGCGAGAGAGTCAGCCGGATTCTTGAAATTAAACGCTTAGCTAATATACTCGTAGTATAAAGAAAAGTGCAATACAAAATCAAGTTAGTGAATGAATAACCGTAATAGTTTAGAATATCATGTTTAGGCGCAGAAGAAAATCGTTACGTTGATCACAGTCTAAAGATGCTTGCCATATGAACGCCGCGGACTCTCGCAAGCATGACCGTTGGGACGAATGACACCGTGTCCGGCAGGGGCCGGTGTTGTCTTGACAACGTGACTCGTGAGAATGGTTGACCTGATTTTCAGTAAAATCATAATTTAAAATCACTAATTTTCAGTGAAAATAATTTTTCGTAAAAGAAATATGTAGTCACTCCTACTTGCGTTTAGGTTCAGAATGTAACAAACTAGGTATGCTACTTTTCTGCTAACTTGAATGAATAACTTTATTCATTTCTGTAACCACAAATCCAGTCTCTAATGTGAGGTTTTATCAGAAGTTTCATCGGTCATTGTGTTCTCAACTTCTCGATACGCTCTGCTTGTCGAACTCGTTAGTGTTCAGCGTCTTGGCATGCAAAGGAAAGACCAATCTGACTCAAAAAGCATATTGTAATTTATAATCTTCTAAGGAAGGAGCTAATATGGGTTCAGAGGTGATTTTCAATTTTTAAGAATTGTTCTCTTCGTAAAAAAGTTATGCAGCTTGCTTTCATTTTTTTTTAATTCTACATCAATTGTGATTACTTTTACCTGAAAAATTCTTATTTCGAGTAAAATGTGAATATTTTAGATGGCAAATTTATTATGCGATGAAAAATCCAAAGTTACCGCGTGAACCATTGAATGAATTAATAGTTAAAATTTTCAAAATGATTTCAAAAAGATCGAACCAGCAGTTGTGAAATTATGCCATATCACATGGAGTGGTGTTTGCAATCTTTCTGATGTCCTCTCCAGTTTTAAACCTGGACCTTATTAGATCAGAGAGAAAATGCGTGAAACATGAATGAAAGACAATCAGAATTAAACTTTATTTAGTAATTATTCAATAGTTATGACAGCGACACAATACCTGCAGAAATGAAATTTTCAGTCACATCATCACAGTGTTAAAGCAAAGCGCCTCACTGGAGGAGTATTTCTGCATTTGGTTACTTGGAAGCGAGTCATAAGTCACAACTATCATATAAGCGTATGAAGGCTGGTTAAAAAACTAGAACCCTGTAGGCAGAGTTAAAAATATTCCCTTTATTTCATACATACTTTAATAATGACATCTAAAAACGATCGACAGGGCACGGTACACGGTAGATTTCATTTCGGATCCATGACTAGACAACAAGGCAACAGTGACAGGTCAACAGCAGCTCCTGTCACCTGCTTTAAATAGATGCAGGCCTGACGTGATCCATCTTGGGTCAAGACAAACGGTTAAAGAATTTCTCGTTAAATACAAGAAATTGACCCTCAGATCCAAGATTAAAACGTTTTCTTCAAATTACTGGAATAATTATTTCTTATACAACCGAATAATTCAGAGACTCGTGATCCTTGTTAACATTACAGTACCTAAGAATAATAACAATCATTAATTAACAGCAGGAAACTCGTGCTGAGGTGAACCTTAACAGATCGCTTGTGTCAGAGGATGCGTCAAACTTTCCTTTCATTGGCGGGCGCAGGGAAAATTAAGAAGTCGTGGCGAAAGTAAAGGTATTCCCTGAGAGAGCGGGGCAAGACGCCTCGCAAGCCTTCCGTCTTCTCCTCAATCCTGCAGTGGCCGAGGGCAGCGCGGATGGACAGGCGGCACAGCTCCTTCAGCGACCGCATCGCATCTGCACACCAACACATGGCTCTGAGTCTTGGTTGACAAGTGACCAGGTCACTGACTGATGTTTATGATGAATAATGAAGTGATTTGTGAATTAAATGAGGATTTGATCGTTTGTTACGTTAACAATTAGTAGTTTATTATAGCGGATTAATTCGCCAAAATGGGCCATATTGAAATAAATCATCGAGAATGAGTAGAAGTCATAGAATTCGTCTCCATAATACACTTCTATGTATGTTATATATTTCCACTTCAATATATGTTATATATTCCCCCGTCCTGCCTTTTGCAATACCTATTAGGTAATGTCTCGACCTTCAAAGACAACTTAAAGAACTCCGGTATCTCGCTTTGAGCTATCGATCTACTAGGCGAATAAGATACTTATCCTCGTCAACAAAAAAAATATTTCCGTTAGAAATATCTTAACCCAAACTTTTGCTTGTTTTGTGAGAGTTCATTAAGGATGAGAGAATTGTCCTCACCTGGCGGTGGATAAAATGAAGGTCGCGTCACCACCAGGCGACATCGGGGGGCGTAGCGATGAAACACAGACAAAGCAGAGAGCCTGGAAGGGTCTTCAGAGCTGCAATTCACCTCCACCCTGCCGAAAACCAACTAATTACTAAGCCGATATACACCGCTTATAAATATAATTTTTTTTAATTACATCAATATACAAATGATATAAATTATTTACAAATCATAACTGAATATAAATGATAGGTATAAAATATCAAAATAATTAAAATATCAATAAAAAATATCTAAATATACACCACTTTCCTGAAGAGGTATTTTGTCGTCGCTTTAGAGTTTAGACCACTGCTTTAGAACACTTATGAATTTAGTCATGAGCAAATTGAACATTTGTGTGGCACGCATCAAACTTGTCATTATTGTCTGATATTGGTTAGGTTTGATTTCCGTACTAGGTCGTTTCACGCAACAGCAGATTTGAGAAACTTTTCTTTTCAGACAAGTATATTCACTTTTGTACGTGTTTTGTTGATACGATATTGTACCCGTTTTGACGATTCATTTATTGATACGTTAATATCACGAGGATCATAAGACGCATAATCAAACATTGCAACTTCATTGTTGTTTGCTTTGTAGGTAATTTTCTTGCATCAAAGTAGGTCTCAATTACTGAACCTCCCTGTATAGTTCGAGCTCAGTACACAGTGAGGATTGATGCAAGAGAAGGACTTCAAAGTGTAAGGCTTGGGTACCTTCTAAGAGCAAGACTTCTAATCCTGCTAGGAATGCAAAGACCCCAAAAGGTTATCATGAGTGAAAATACAAGTCTGACATTATCACTCACTCCTCGTACTCAGTGAAGTGCACGCCCAAGTGAAGCAGCAGTAGCGATGTAACAGTAGCTTCTCGACAGGACGCCACAAAGTCCCTGCAAAGACCAGTCAGCATGGACGACCTGAGATATAGAAACGTAGGATTATTAGGTAATGTTTGATGTCTCTTAGTATCTTAAAACGTGAATTTGAGAAGCAACAAACTCAAACATTGCATATTAGAAACTTGGTGAACTGAAGACTAAAAATTAAAATTTTCCGAGTAAGAAAGAAGCAGTTGCTAAAAGAAACCCAATTGCGCAAAGACTGCAATAGGACTCGCGGTCATCCTAACAATTACCACAGACACACCTGAACCAGCACTGGCCGTCACGGCAGCAGTTCTTCGTCAGTTCGGAGAGTAGTATTCTGTATCCAGACTCCGGCGCGTGCAGAATAGCATCGGAGGTACCAGACATGATTCTCTTGAAGAGTCTTACAATGTGACCATTTGTAACGAATGCCACTAAAGATGATACCGTGGGTAGAAACAAGGATATGTGGAAGGCAAGGATATGCGGAAGGCAAAGATATGCATGAAGCAAGGATATGCGGAAGGCAAAGATATGCATGAAGCAAGGATATGCGGAAGGCAAAGATATGCATGAAGCAAGGATATGCGTGAAGCAAGGATATGCGTGAAGGCAAAGATATGCATGAAGCAAGGATATGTGGAAGGCAAAGATATGCGTGAAGCATGGATATGAGTGAAGCAAGGATATGTGTGAAGCAAGGATATGTGGAAGGAAAGGATATGCATGAAGCAAGGATATGCAGAAGGCAAAGATATGCGTGAAGCAAAGATATGCAGAAGGCAAAGATATGCGTGAAGCAAAGATATGCAGAAGGCAAAGATATGCATGAAGCAAGGATATGCGGAAGGCAAGGATATGCAGAAGGCAAGGATATGCGTGAAGCAAGGATATGCGCGAAGCAAGGATATGCAGAAGGCAAAGATATGCGGAAGGCAAGTATTTGTGTATGGCGAGAATATGTGATTCAGTGAGGGCAAGAAATATATGCGTTCATAGCCGATGCTGAACAGAGCATGCTTAAAAAAAATTACAAAATAAAACAGTACAAAAATGAAACATTGCAGGTTTCCCCCGAGCTTAAGACGTGAGACGAAGTTTGCAGTTTGTTGTAAGCTCGGCTGCTAACGAGCCTCATTGTATGTTGTGTTCCAGGCCCGATTGCGACAGGCTTGTTGAGAGGCCGGCCGTAACATCAGCAACAATATTTTCACTCTAGAAGTAAATGTGTAATATTCCTGTTAAGTCCGTGAATACTGATGAAGATATCAAGTCCGCTGCATAGCAAACCACCCTCGGGTGCCGGTCGGTATGTACAAAGCTTCTGATACAACAGAGTCCTGAGGTGCAGACTGCAGTATCTCAGTGCTCTGCTAGACCACTGCATGGGGTGCGTTACTGCAACCATGCTACGCTTGAGACATTGCAACGGTGCTCCATCTCCCGGTGCAGCACAAAAAAAGCTAAAATAAAAGATGCCTTCAGACGCCATGTTCCGAGACAGTTAAATTATGAAATTTAAATAAGATTAGACGACAGTTACAGGAGCACAAATACCCCCACAAACCTTTATTTCTGAATAATGGCAGCAACTTCAAAACGATGGGAAAGCCGCATATTTGTGTCGTGTGTAACATGGCATTGAGCATGTTAAGGCTGCTCTGGGAATGCTCCTCCTCTAATAATTCCCTGCAAGAAAACCAGGAAGAAATAAAAATAGAAACATTCTTATGACTGTGAATCACTAAGCTTCATAATTAACTCATTTTTTGCCTAAATTATAGAATGCAGCCATTTAGCTCAAAATCCTCGTGAAAAACTTTGACTGTAATGTTACTACCGTCAAACGGGGCAAAAAGGGACGGTTTTGAGCGTTTTTTGTTAATAACTTCTTACCATGAAACATTACACCAACAAGTTTAGGCTCATTTTATAGCTCTTTGCGAGGGCTATCGAATGGCATCTTCAAAAAAATTCCATATGCTATTTGTAAGGTGCTAGATGCAATATAAAAGGCTCCTGAATTCATCTGGAAATGGGGTAAAAAGGGACACTTGAAATAAAACTCAATTCAAAATTTCTAAATTCAAAATTTAGGTGAAAATCTTTGTGATTAACCCATATTTATCTTAACTGTGGCCTTTGCTAACAGAGGATCTGCTGTAAATGTTTTTTAGGGGTTATCCCTAATTACCCCGGGGGAGTCCTTTTTTACCCCGTCGCGCGGAAATGGCTGCCATTTTTTTTAATGAGATAGGCAAATTCCGTCAATTACGTTTTCAAGCCGACACCTGGGTGCAACTTTTATGTAGGTAAAAAAACCAGCCATGGCACTAGTGGTCTAACATAAACCACACTGGCGCAAACCAGCCATGGCACTAGTGGTCTAACATAAACCATACTTACGCAAACCAGCAGTAGCACTAGTGGCCTAACCTAAACTGTACTTACGTAAACCTGCTGTAGTGCACGTGGCATAACATAAACCATACTTACTCAAATAGGCTGTAGTACTTGTGCTTCGGTAAGATCCACCTTTCAATAGGCAGGCCATTGTTCTCCGCTATAGTAATGATAAGCTTCAGTGATTCCAGTCTGGAAAAAAAAAAACAAAAATAATACTAATATTTCAAGAGAATTGAATATGTCTCAATAATGAATGGTGGTGGCACTTAGACATTGATTCAGTCAATTTGACAAGATGTTCAAGTGAATTGCTTTGCGAGTTTATATCTACGAATTAGTAATGCTATGCAAGGAAATGGCCGACCAACAATATTACAAGAGGCCAACTGATCACAATCCAAACATAATTGGAGACATTATCAGAACTAACTGACAAGTATAAACTACCTACAATTATAAGGGGTTTTCTTGGCTTGATTCTTATCTACACCACACACACACACACACCATCTGGAGAAAGATCACACTTATCAATGATTTGAAATAGGTAGGTACCTCGACAGTTTCCAAGCCCAAGCAACACAAATTTTCGTGACCATAAATTTTATTCATGCATAAATTTGACATACCTAATTGAAGTATAATATCGATGCATACGGCCACTCAAGGTAAGGTGTCCAGATCAAACAAACAATAATTTGACTTACTGCGTTTCTAATAGACTTTGAGTTTTTGGGGGTCTGATCCAATTGCACTGATCATTACACCTTTTCCATACATTGTTCACGGGGCAGTATCTGCGAATAGGACAAATTGAAATCTCTTTAAATATGTTTTGACATTGAAACTCCTGCATACTATTGAATAGTAGTTAGGGGCAAAAATTACATTACAAAGATACTGATACTATTTAATGATATATCACTGTACAGTGGAAAACGTTCACAATAATTTGTTTGTTAGCCAATATAGCTTCAGCAAGTACCAACATGAAACATTCCATGAAAAGGTGGACCAACAGTTTACTCTTGTCCTTTTCGTTCCGGAAGATGTTCTCCGTCAAGGCAGTTATGTACCTGAAGAGAATAATATTGCTGTTTAAATATTGGATATGTAACAAGAGGTTAACTAAAACCTACCATTCAGCAATGAAAATTACGACAATACTTTGACGTGATACCCAACTAACCCTTTTTATCCACAGAAAAGATCCCCACTAAAGAAAATATTTTATTACATCAAAGGGATAATTTGCCAATGTCCAACAACTGGAGCGGCTATTTAAACCGTCAGAGCTAATTCAAATACGATTTCAATTAAAAGCTTGACGACAGGTTCAAGCAATACATATCATTTTTGATTTTCAACGCAATGGATAGTCTTTTATTTAGCTAAACATAACAGGCATTCATATTAGTGCATCACATTCATTTGTCAGAATGGTTTACCCAATAATATCCTCTAAATGCAAACCAGAACTAGGCACCAAGGAAATTTAGCATGAATTTCGTTTTCAGCAAATTTACTTGCACTTACTTCATTTTAGGATTCCAGTCAATAAGTGTTAGCCACCAACTAGTGCCATCGATGAATTTAGGTAGGAGTTCAGGCAGTTTGAAATTATCCAGCAGGTAAATTGCGCTGTCATGGTCCCCTATATACAAAATCTCGAACAGCAGACTTTCTGTGACAAACCCTCTAGAAGAGACCCTCTAGAGAAGAGACCAATATCAAAGAAGAAATGGTTGATTAATACATAATGATTTATTAGGTTGAAATTAACAAATAACACAAAAAGGCATAAGCACTGTCTGCCAAAGAGTTTCTTCATTGCTGAGCACAAAATCCTAAAGGAGTGAGTGACATCTCTGACACTTCAGAAGATAATGTTTGATCAACTTTGCTCAATATATGACATTGTTTACCTTGCTGAATTAATCATGGTCAACTGCTGCTCTACATTTGACCACCTGTTATGCATTTGATTAGCTGATGTCATACTAATGATTGCTTACTTTGCTACTACTTTCGATACTTCAATTCTACAGGATTGGTCACAAGCTAACCTATGTTTGATAACCTCAGGCCCAGTATTAAATCACATGCTGCTTTGGCACTCACGGTCCGAACTTGTGTGCTGCCTCTACCAGCTTCTTCACTTCGGTTTTGTTGAAAATTCCATCAACAATCCATGAGCAGATCTCATCGTGAGCACAGCCTTCTTTTAGAAGTTTTATGAGAATTTCAACATTGTCCTGGGAGACAGATATACACTCTTCACACAATGCAGAAAAAGCTCATGCAAACAATCTATGCAGATTATTTATATTCTCCTCTTCTGATCACAAGAGGAGGATATCAAAATGAATGTCATATTGAGATATGATGTAATGACATAGACTCAAGTCTTCAAGAATAGAGGTGAAAATCTTAAAGGAAATGATCTTGAAAAATTCAATGAAATTTAGTGGGACATAAATAACCAAACATCAAATTACATAGGTTACCAGACCAAACTGGATGTCTGAAAACAAAAAGGATGCAAAGAATCACAGACCCAAAAAGTGAAAGTTCACCAGAGCAACCCAGAAATGGGTAGGTTAAATATTGTTCACTATCTGCAAAATGTCTGCCAAGCAAAGAAACAAATAATCATTGTATTTAATTAAAAATGTACCAATTTAAAGAAAAAGTGGCTCATACCCTAGCTAATAATGTGGCTCATACCCTAGCTAAGAATGTGGCTGGCTGCTGGTCGTGCTCTAAATCCATGGCCTTGGCATCTGCCCCGGCATCCAGCAGTAGTTCAGCGCCCCGCCACCAACGCCTCTCCAATGCTGGAAAACACGTATCTAGTAAAAAGCTGCTACTGCTTCTGTAAGCGCATTTTACTTTGTCCAGTTTCTCCAGAATAATTTGGGCAGAAATGATTAATTATCCTAGTGAAAAATTTCATAGCATTGTACAAGTAACTAAAACACCAAACTTGTTTTCTGAAATACTACCTATAAGTATGTTATTTTAGATTCAGAAATTACAAAATTCAGCAGTAAATTAAAGGGTTTCCTTAAATCATTACAATAAATTTCTTAAAATTTTCAGTAAAATATTACATACAATCATTCTCTACTCCAAAAAGCTAACATGCAGGAAAATCTCAAACAAATACCAGCCATAAGATAAATAGGTACCACACAATAAGGGCAGGGAGACAGGATCAGGTTGAGGCAGGTTGGGATCAGCACCGGCAGCAAGGAGGCTCACTAGAATCTCTTCCTGGAAGAACATTAAAAAACAAAGCTAAAATAAATGCCAATGCATCAGGATAGGATAAAAATTAAAGCTTTATAGTTAAAAAATTAGCTCCAAATGAATGGCATATACATGTGAAATAAGAAAATATGCAAGTATGTTTTAAATAGGAATGATAAAACTTGTTTTTTAATTAGATATGTGATTATGGGCTAGTAAAATGAAAGCTGAAGCTTGAAACTGAAATTTCTGTACATCATAAAAAAGTTTTTATTCCAGCAACACGTAAAAGCTTTTAATTGCTAAAGTTGAACCTTGAATGGCCAACATTATATATCATAATAAATGCACTAGAAATTTAAAAGCGAAGAAAACACCACAAAAATTTAGCATATCTCTTTTGAAAACGTTTCAGAGACCAGCTCCATCGTCAGTTTGATAAATCTAGAACACAGATAAATGCAGAAAATTAGTTTGGAGTTAATAAAAAAAACACACACAGAAGTTATAAACCTAAATTTACAGACAAAGGGCAGAATAATAAAGTAAGTACCTATCTATTCACAATTTCTAATGGATAAGAACTATAGGCAGCATTTAAACTAGGCTTCTCTTTAAAAATATACAATGATTCCAAAATACGCAGATCGGAAGCACCAGAACTATAAGCTAAAACCTTAAAGTCTGTGTCGGACACTGGAACGTTGCACTGTTCGGCGTGAATGCGCACAGCCGAATGAGGAGGGCGCGATAGTAACTGCCCAGTCCTATAACTCCTACCTCTATGCTCAGCGACCCAAGTGTAAAAGTTGTGTGCCGTCATTCTGACATACGCAGATGCACACCGTGCACAACTAAATTTATAAACTAGGGACGATCGCATATGAGGAGGAAGGATATCTTTGTACCTAAAAAATGAACCTATTTTGAAATTATTCACCAGTAAGATACAAAGATTAATGTCCGGGAAGTATTTCATAAACAAAACTTAATTCTCTTGACATAACTTCGGACGCATGGCCGAAGTATGGAAGAGAACAGTAAACAACGCTTCTGCCATCAGGTTTTGGAACAACTTCACTGTATCGCTTAGACATGAATTTCTTAATCTGGGTAAACGTATCTTCTGGGTAAACATATCTTAATCTTCGTATCTTACTGGCGAATAATTTCAAAATAGAATCGTTTTTTAGGTACAAAGATATCCTTCCTCCTCATATGCGATCATCCCTAGTTAATAAATTTAGTTGTGCACGGTGTGCATCTGCGTATGTCGGAATGATGGCACGCAACTTTTACACTCGGGTCGCTGAGCATAGAGGTACGAGTTATAGGACTGGGCAGTTACTATCGCACCCTCCTCATTCGGCTGTGCGCACTCACGCCGAACAGTGCAACGTTCCAGTGTCCAACACAGACTTTAAGGTTTTAGCTTATAGTTCGGGTGCTTCCGATCTGCGTATTTTGGAATCATTGTATATTTTTAAAGAGAAGCCTAGTTTAAATGCTGCCTATAGTTCTTATCCATTAGAAATTATGACCATCGTTCTATCTATAGCATCACCAGCTGCAAAGTCCACAAATTGAAATATGAGCATTTAAATGAAGGTTTTGACTCGGACAATGGAATTGGCGCTCTTTCCGCATTTTCTTCATAAGGTAGAAGTATCAATATATATATTTATTTATTTTGGCAACTTGATTAAATTTAATCAAATTAAATTTTTATGTTTCTAATTTTTCATTTGCATAAACTGAATTTTGATTATAAAGAAAAATTTTGTGTACTGATTGCATTAATTGAATTCTTCAAGTGCGATTTAAACCTTCAATAGGCAAAATTTGCAAAAATTCATAGATATAAATATATTGTATAATACTTCTTACTTTCTTGAAATGGTTTCTGAAATTTTAATTTCTGGATATTTCAATGCTTGCCCGCTAAAGGGTTAAACTAACACTCCAATTTTTCCAGCAAATACAGAATATCACGCCAATCTCTAGATTAAGTCTCAGAGCTTGACTTGGGGTCTTGGGCAAAGTTGCTATAGGTGCAGGCCCTCATTACGGTGTTTATTGCTTGCTAATAGTCCAAGTTTAGTTTATTATGTAGTGATACTCCTTTTAAGCTTTAGCATTTTAATAGAGATAGAAGCAACTAGTAGAGTGGAGTGAACAGTTTTAATGCTGCTGGCTTAGCCAATAAAGATTTCTGCAATCCCTTTAGTCTTCAGCTAAATGGTAGACTTATCTCAATCATAACTTACCAATTTGTTTGCATTAATTTTTTATGCATTTCTTTATGTAATAACCCATGTTTTGTCTTTTTCTCCCTTTCGTTTTTACAGTAAGATAAAGTGCAATGTGTACTTGTTGTTCTAATGGCCGACTAGCATTCTGAAGCTTTGCACAGGGGTTGACCTGGTGAGTCCCCCTGTCACCACCTGTTTGGGTGAAGGATGATGGGGTTGATACATACGTTAGTTGGGCTGCTGACAATCAATCTGCCATGAATAGTATAAGTCAGTTTGATATATAAAACGCCTCTTGCTTGATCAATAAATAGTTTTGATAAATAAATTGTTAATGAGATGTTATTAATTATTGCTTTGCATTTAAATGTTGCATCAGTTGATGAGTACCGGTATACTTGTTTATGATGATTGTGCTAATAATGTTTTTTTTTTTCAAGGTTCTTCAATCTAACTTTTTTAAACAAGCTAATTTCTTGCGTTATTTCAGGGCTCTTGGTTTGGGTAAGATACTTGAATGTCTGTCACTTATGCACCCCACTTTTTCCTTTTCTTTGTTTATGTTTTTATGCTTCAGTTCTTTTGTGTTTATAGTTTCTTGTCAATAAAGCTCTGTGTTACATTTCCCTTCACCCCATGGCTAAAGCAAACCAGAGATGAAATGTTGAGTGGAGGCAGATAAAGATGAGACCTCTCCGCCTACATTGCACTGGTGAGAGGAAGGTAGTTTTGATTGTTTACCATACATTACTGGTGATTGTTGCTGCTTTTTTTTGTTTACTTTTGCACATGGTTTTTCTATTTTGCACACTTAAGAATACTGGCCTGTGTTTTGTAAAAAAAATTCAGTTTATACTTCCATCAAAGCTTACATTATTTTATTAGAGTAGAATTGGATCAATGATAAACTCAAGTAATTATTATTACTCTCTCCCAAACCTTTATTTTCAGTCATATTAGTTTTGCTTAATCAGAAATTGTTTCAGGTTTCTCAATTGTTCTATCTCCATCTGTAGCATTCCATTGAGGTTGGTTTAAGGAAATCACTGCCATGAGGTTTAAATAAAAAAAAAGCCACCAGCACATTCAGCTGAATGACAGCTCCAAAGGATTAGTTATTTTTTTAGAGTTTATAGCCCATTCACACCATGGTCCTTTTATACTTAATAATGATAATAATCTGTTGCAATTCTAACAACCTAACTTCACCTCTATGGGGTTAAGTTACTACATCATACTTCTGCATTCATTTTACTCCTGGGTCATTGCTTATGAGTTTGTTCGTACTATGGTCAAACTCTCGTAATAACCGTATAATTTAATACTTATTCAATAGGAAAAACATTTCAAGGAGCCTTCACTTACAGAAAAATTTCAGTAAAGCATACCATCAAATGGGGTAATAAGGGATGGGCAGGGTAAATTGGGACAGTCATCCCACATTTCTTAGAAATGTTTTAGCAGCTTAACTAATCAAAATATTGCAAAACTAAAAATAGTAGCATAACGTTCAACATTGCTACTAAAAGCAGCAATTTTTACATAAAGCAAGTTAAAAAATCATACATTTACTACTTTAAAAAAAAATCCCTAAAAAAGTGTAATAAGTGAGATTTTGGAATAGTATCTGTGCTACAATCTGTAGCAAAAAAAAAAAATATTCACCATGTTAAAAAATTTTACTCCCATAAAAGTTGTGCACTGGTGTTGGCTTAAAAACATGATTGATGGAATTTGCACATCTCATTAAAAAAAATGGTTGCCATTTCATTCTGAGGTAATAAGGGATACCCTAGGATAATAAGGGACACCCCAGGGTAATAAGGGACACCCCTAAAAATGCATAAATATTTACAGTAGATCCTCAATTAGCAGAGGCTCCAGTTAATGAAAAAATCAATTAACAAAAAATTGTGCTTACATTTGCCTTGTTCAGCAAAAAAAAATTTCACTTGACAAAATATTGATGCATCATCAGTTATTACAAAATTATGCATAGAAGATCATAGATAGAATTGTGCACCAGGCAACATAGAATAAAAATTAATTAACCTAAACTATGATTTATTTCTCCAAAATATATTATAGTTGTCACTAAAATATTCCTTTCTGTCAGGTATGTTTTTCACAATCTTTTTTTTTTTTTATAGTGAATTCACTTGACCCAATTAAAATGGTGTGAAATTACAAGCTGCCCTGTAAGCTTACAGATACAGAATAAATGCTATACAGCTGTTGATATGAAGCTTACAGTGGACAAGATTGTTGTAAATGCTCAATGAGATGTTCATGGATACGGTATTATCACATCAAAAATTCGGTAATGTATGGATGTGGTAATATCATATCAATAAAGGAAAAACAAGTAAAAATTACAGAAAATGTCATTTATTCTACATCATCTACAATGGAAGAGGAGGACTTCAGAGTACTGTTAGTAATGGATGAGTACACTTTGCATGCTTCAAACATTTTGAAATTAAATTTTATATCAAGTGTCCCAGATTACCCCATTCCCAGGGGTAATTCGGGATGCTTTTATTTTGCGTCTGGCATATGGAATTTTTTTTTTTTTTTGAGATGCCATACAATAGCCCTCAGAAAGATCTTTAAAATGAGCCCAAACTTGTTTATGAAATGTTTAATGGTAAGAAGTTATCAACGAAAAATGCTCAAAACCATCCCTTATTACCTTATTTGACAGTAATAGAGGTAGGTAAAAAGTTTACCAATCCGCAGCAGGATAGCACTAGCTGGCAATAGCAACTTGAAGTATCAATAGATA